AATGGACATAGATGCAAAGATATTCAGTAAAATACTACCAAATAGAATGCAGCAAATCATCAAGAAAATCATACACCATCACTAAGTGGGATTCATCCCAGGAATGCAGGAATGGCTCAGTGTACACAAATCAATAAATGTTATCCACCATATCAGTAGAGATAAAGACAAACCACATGATCATCTCAATAGATGCAGAAAAAACTTTTGACAAAATCCACACTCACTCATGATAAAAAAAAACCCTACAGAAAGTAGGAATAGATGGTCTTTACCTCAACCCGACCAAAGCCACCTATGACAAACCAACAGCCAACATCAAACTAAAAGGACAAAAACTAAAAGCTTTCACTGTAAAATCAGGAACCAGACAAGGATGGCCATTGTCACCACTCATATTCAACATAGTTCTGGAAGCATTAGCCACAGCAATTAGACAAGAGAGAGAAATAAAAGGAATAAAGATAGGAAAGGAAGAAGTGAAATTATCATTATTTGCAGATGACATGATACTTTACATGGAAGACCCCAAAAACTCCACCAGAAGATTCCTTTAATTAATCAACAAATTTAGTAGTGTAGCTGTATACAAAGTCAACACTCAAAAATCAATAGCATTCCTATACAGAAACAACAAACACACTGAGAGAGAAATGAAGGAAACTATACTTTCCACCACAGCATCCAAAAACATGAAATATTTAGGAATCAATCTAATGAAGTAGAAGATCTATTCAATGAAAACTACACTACTCTGAAAAAGGAGATCAAAGAGAATTTAAGTAGATGGAAAAATATTCCTTGCTCATGGATAGGAAGAAACAACATTGTGAAAATGGCCATACTACCAAAATTGTTGTACAGATTCAATGCAATTTCCATTAAAATACCATTAGCATACCTCACAGATTTAGAGAAAATGTTCCTAAAATTCATCTGGAAGCAGAAAAGACCCAGAATAGCAAAGGAAATCCTGGGCAACAAAGACAAGTCAGGTGCCATCACAATCCTTGAAATTATACTACAAAGCTACTGTAATAAAGTCAACATGGTAGTGGCTAAAAAACAGACCTGAGGATTGATGGAACAGACCAGAAGAAACAGCCACATCTGCAAATTCCTTATTACAGATTACATTCAGCCACCTGATTTTTGACAAAGGGGCCAAACATGTGCACTGGAAGAAAAATAGCCTCTTTAATGAATTGTGCTGGTAAAACTGGCTTGCCACATGTTGAAGACTGAAACTAGACCCATGGCTATTACCATGCACTAAATTAAAGTCAAAATGGACTAAAGATTTCAATATTAAAGCAGAAACACTACAGCGACTGGAACAGAAAGTAGGTAGAAATCTTGAAGACATAGGGTAGACAGAGAGTTCATGAACAAAAAACAAACAGCATGGGAAATTCTTGGAAGAATCAACAACTGGGATCTCATCTTACTGAAAAGTTTTTGCACATCTAAAGAACTCACCAGCAGAGTAAAAAGAAAACCCACAAACTGAAAAAATTTTAGCCAACTATCCTTCAGACAAAGGACTTCTATCTCGAACATATGAAGAATTAAAAAAAAAATCAGGCCCCCCAAATTGAGAGCCCCAATCAAAATATGGGCATTTGAAAAATGCAAATTAAAACAACACTGAGATTTCATCTTACTCCAGAAAGAATGGCTATCATCAAAAAATCAACCAACAGCAAATGCTTAAGGGTTGTGAGGAAAAAGGAATACTTCTCCACTGTTGGTGGGAGTGTAGACTGGTACAACCACTGTGGAAATCAGTCTGGAGATTCTTCAGTAAACTAAAATTAGAGGTCTCATTTAACCCAGCTATTCCCCTCTGGGTATTTTTCCAGAAGAACTGAAAACATCATACCACAATGATATATGTGCACCCATGTTTATAGCAGTGCAATATGTAAAAGCTAAATCATGGAAACAACCCAAATGCCCATCAACTAAGAAATGGGTAAAAAGCTATAGAATTTTTATATAATGGAATATTACTCAGCTATAAAGAAAGATAAACTTGAAGCTTTTATAATTAAACTAGAGACCATACTTATAAGTGAAATAAATGTCTCACATGTGTAAACATCATATTGTCTCCCTAGTATAACAACCTGAAAGAGTAAATGAAATCTAAAAGGCACAATAGATAGTGAGAAAGGGAAAAAAATTGCTCAAAAGGAAAGAACAACATGGATGAGGGAAAGGAGAAAATAAAGAAATAAGGGAAAAAATACACACACACACATACACACAAGATGGCAGGGATAATTGTACTATTAATTTCTATTGCTTTCTTGGAAGGAACATTTGCTATTTAATTGTCTGATCATTCTTATATGTCTGTATTTGTTTCTTAGAATAACCAATATGAAGGTAACAGTAAGTAATCCAGCAACCATTGTTAATTTTTCACCTTGTCTGAAATTCTGTATTGTTTTTATATTGTTTCATTATGTTGTCTGTGTGTTTGTTAATATGCTTTGGTTCTTTTTTCTCTAAAAATAAAATTTAAAAAACACAGGAAGAACATAACCCCAAATAAATAGCCTAATTACTAAGTAAATCAAGAAACATACAAAACTTAAACCTATAAAATGTCCAGTGGAGACACAGATTAAATACCACTATAAGACATTGCATATGTAATTCCCAAGTAATCTTTTTGCCAAAGAGTCTGAATGCTCATACTCCAAAACCTCGTCTGATCCCTTCACCACAATGCTGAAGCTAACTCATAATCAGGATTTTTTTCTGTCAGATTAGAGGCATTCTTGCAGAGTCTGATACAGTCTGTGGTTAGGAACTCTGGCAGTCCATCTCCTTGGATATAATAATGGTATATTCGGCAGACAGATTCACTGGCATGAAATTGTCCACTGAGTCAGGATTGCTTCTATGCAACCAAATCAGCTACAGCAGTAACAAGCTAGTTCATTACACTGGTATCTATCAGGGATGGTTGAGAAACAACACACTATGAGTCTCTGTTTTGGATCTCCCTTTAGCCTGGAGAAGAAATGCATGGTTATAGTGTAATCACCCTAACAAGCTAAGGCTTGACCCACAGTTAATGTACACAAAGTGTGATGACTACATGTCCTCCCATGGCGAAAAACAGCATTCAACAGTAATTTCATAGGATTAGTTATCTAAAGCCTGTGGGTCTGAGGACCAGGTAATGCCAGCGGGGCAAAAGAAGAGAAAAAAGAAAGAAAAAATGTTTTTTTTGTTTGTTTGTTTTTTTTTTTTTAAGTCCTCTGCTGTGTAGTGTGGGAAGGAGGAAACAGGAAGACGGCAATGGATCTTGGTGATGGTAAGGGTATGTTATGCATTTAGAAGGGGTAACAGGGAAAACTGGGTACAAAATTGGTAGCCAGAGCTGGGGATAGGGAAAGATTTAATGACTGATATAAATATTACAAAGAAAAGTTAAAGGAGACAAATTAAAAGGGGGAGAGGAAAGAAAAACTTGAGAATGAATAAGATACAAGAGAAATAATTCAGGCAGAGATATGGAAAAAAGCAGGAGGGATATGAAAGGACAAGGAGAATTCCTGTACCCCTGCAAACTGTACTGGAAGAAAAAAGGCAAGAGGAAGAGAAGCCACAGAGAGACATGCTTATTAAAAAAGGATAAACTAAGGTAATAAGAGTGGGGGGGATGTGCAGAAGGAGGAAAATAGTAAAGAATAAAAAAATGTTTAAAGTAGATAAAAATGAAAAAATAATGCACTCAAATAAAGAATAATAAAAGAAAGGGTTTTTTGTTTTGGATACATGACTGTTTCCCTCAGCCTAGGGCTAAGGGGCAGAGCTCAAGCCAGCATGTGTCTCTGTTGATGCTGGAAGTCTAAGGTTGCGCTCTGCTCCCAGCATGGTGCTGGGTTTAGAGATCTGCGTACAGTAGGAACACGGTGCCAGTGTGGGTTTTCCACCCTGTGTAGCTCAGACTGAACCTGCCTCTGACTGCGTGAGCTGGGTCTGTGCTCACCAGTCCCTGCCTCTCAGTGGGACATCCACCAGTCTGCCCTACAACTGCCAACGGATTGTCTTTCTCCCCAGCTGTCCCCCTGATTATCTTTCTCCCATCCACACTAGGATCTTGGCAGTGAGAAGCATCCAAGGGGCTGCCCTGGGACCCATGTTCAAACACTCAGCCTTTCCCTACAGTGGTACCTCTATCCATTCTTGCTCTACAGCTGTGGCCTTGGGGGCTTATACCAGTTCACTCAACAACTATTGACTGAATAAGGCTGCTGTGGAAGCAGTGTTCTGTGTTTTCCTTGCTAGTTCTCACTGCAGATCATTCTTTCCATCTCAATGCAGTTCTCTCGTTCTCTGGCAAAAAAAGTTGTTAGTTTCACTTTGCCTACCATCAGTGGCACTGCATCATCTCTCCTCAGCAGTGATTTCTTCCTTATATATCACTTCATCCTATTTTCTTCTCTATCAGTTCTTTTGTGGTTCCCTGGTCACCTCCACTTACTTTGATTTCTATCCAAGCTATTGTTTTCCAGACCTAGACTCTTTGTCCTGGAGAAGCTGAGTTGCTGACACTCACTGCTCTGCCACTTAAGGATCAAGAATATATTCTAAAAATCAAAAAGCTTCCATGTTTGCTCTGTAAAACTGCTTTTCAGGCTCAGCCAGCCGTGCTCACAATGTACCTGGCCCAGCGTCCCAGGTCAAGGTGGTTCCTTACATGCATCATAGAAACAGCATCTACAGCAGGTGCTGCCACTGCTTGTGAAAAGGGGATTATACCTTCCCTGATGACCTCCTAGAAGTTCACTCTGAGGCAGAAAGAAGCTCAAGCACTGGGCAGCAGTCCCAAAGGGAACATTTTTGGCCATCCTCTGTTGCTGTAGGCCAGGTCCAGCTTCTGACTCTCACTGGCTACGTTGTAACACCTGACCAGGGAAATTACCACTGCTCATATGCAAATACATGTTTGCAAAAGAAGGCAAGAAGGAGGCACAGTGTAACTATAATTTCATCATGTGTTTATTGGTTACAAATCACTTAAAGTTCATTGTTTCCTTTGATCCTTACAAAGAACTGTATTCAGAGAAGGAATCTTCATTCCCTCTCCATCTCCAGTATGAAAATACAAATCACTGAGTACATAAATGATTTGCTCTGGACTAATTCCGAGGGAAATAGCAGAGCTATAATTGTGATCAAATTTCCTCTAGTCTAATCGCACTCATCTTTCCTCCCCACTTTCCTTCTGTCCCCTCACATCTGTATAGGCACCAGAGGTCTCAGAGACAGGCCATTTCTTCTTTGTTTCTTTCCTTTCACTTTCCTTCTCCACCATCATATCCTGGGGATAGCATGGATGCAGAAGCTCTGTGGGGAAAGTGTAATGCCCAACCTAACCTTCAGGCTCAGCTTCTCGTCCTTTGGGGGCTGGAAGGTGAACTTCTGCAGAAGCGAAGTGAAGAAAATGAATAGCTCAGACCTAGCCAACTGTTCTCCAAGGCACACACGTTTTCCTGTGAGATAAAAACAAACAGTTTATATATAGGGGTGGTTCTGTGGCCTCTGCAAAACCTGACCTTGTGCTTTTTATTCAGCTTCTTATTTTTGTCTTCCAACCATGTGAATTCACCAAAGCACAGAACTGGAGGCAATGGGACAGAAACTGAGCGCTGAGAGTATTGGGGGCACCATGGTGGGACAGTGATGGAAAGAAGGCTGGGATGGCAAAATAAAGCTTTGCAGCACCGTGTGTTGTAGCACCTGTCGTGAGATTCTGATAAAATCACAGAAGCAGAGGATTTACATGAAATGAGATATTGAAACTAAGAAAAAACCTAAGTAAGCCCTCCAATCTCATTTATTCTTTATCAACTAAAAAATGACTGATTCTGGAGGTCATACAGATGAACATTAGTACATCCTCACCAGGTTTGTTGTAGATGATATCTATATTGTGCGGGTTATAATAGTAGCCTGGGTTGTTTCTCACCTTTTCTGAAGGCACTGACCCTTCACTTGAGCTCACAGATGTCTGATGGGTGATTAAAGTGGGAAAAAGGTTCTCTGTCTTCATATTGTATCTGTCCCCTTTTTCTGTCTCAACCGTTGTATCAAATGCTACTTATCTCTGCACATAGACATGCTGACCACTGAAAAATGTTTAACCCAAGGGGGTTTTGAGAAGTATGGGTTATGGGGGAAATGATTAAAGTATGTCATGTGAGTGTACAAATCTGCTAAAATGAAACCCAGTAATCTGTATAACCAAAACCTGCTAATAAAAAGTAGGAAAATGTTTAGTCCAAAGTTATCATATAGTGTGAACCTGCATGTGAGAGCTGGTGTGCATTTTCCTTTTCTTGGTATTTTTTATCTTCTCTGCCCCAGCTTTGTGGTTCTTCAGCAACCTAAACAGCTCCAGTACCTAATGCCCTCAGCCCCAATCTAGGGCCCAGACCCACAAAGCCAGGATGTTTGGTGCAGGATGATGGTGTCACACGAAAATTTCCTAGCCTCTGGGATGAGCTCCTTGTGACCATCTGGTGGTGCAAGTCCATCACAAGAAGAAACATCACTTAGATCTGTGCTCCTGCCCAAGGGATTTTTGGGACTTTAGCCCACCTGAGAACGTCGACACAAGCATGCTGATCCCTGTTCTGTGAGAGTTGGTCGTTTTCTTGACCAAATGATGATTCTCTTCAGCCAAAGCCCCAGGTCAGATGCCCCTAACTGTCTTCATAAAAAATGGTCTGTCCAGGAGCGTGTGCTTGTGATATTTGGCCTTGTCTCTTTCAGCCATGCCTGATTCAGAAGATCCTGTCACCTAGCAGCGTCTCTGTAGTGACTCTGTTGTGATGCTGTGTGAACACTGCACAGGACCTACTGGGCTGGGGCCTTGCAGCTGCTGACCCAGTGTGCACAGCTGTGTGGCTGCCAGCACTGTCTTTTCACAGAGTGGCTTCAAAGAGTTAATGTAACATAAAGGTTTTTCTGCCAATATTTTCTCTATCTTCCACTTTCTTCTTGTATTTATGTACTTTTGCTATTCAAGGTTACTTGGAAATGTGTTACCCAGCCAAGTGTAACTAAAAATGTAAACATCCATGAATTAATCCTTTGTCCAAAGAAAAAATATTTTATTTTATTTTTTTATTTTAAAAATAAAAGAAAGAAAAGATATTAACAGACAGACATCCATTTACAAAACAGAATAAGAACAATACAAACAAAACAGAGTTACAGACAAAGTTATAAGAAATTAACCACGGTTGTTGTATTTCTTATTGATATCTTCAAAGTGGTTTCTCAGGAAAACAGAGATATACAAGATTGATCAAACAAGTAATCATTAACTGTTCCTTTATGTAGAGCAATTAAGACAGTAGTACAACTATGTTAGCTATCCTGTATGTACATACATACGTAATTTCCTCTTCTTTCCCTTCTCTTTTTCCACACCTCAGTTGCTCTTTACTTTTGAGCATTTTCCTTTCATTTCACAGTGTCTATCATACCTCCTAGTTTTTATTGACTCTTTCAGGTCTTACACTAGTGAGACAATAAGATGCTTACATATGCAGGTCTGATTTATTTCACTTATGAGTATGGTCTCTAGTTGTGACCATTTACCTTTAAAAGCCTCTAGTTTGTCTTTTTTTATAGTTGAATAATATTCCATTATATAAAAGTACCACAATTTTTTTATCCAGTCCTCAGTGGATGGACATTTGAGTTGCTTCCACAATTTAGTAATTACAAGTTGCGCTGCTATGAACATGGGTGTACATATATTTCTGTGATATGATGTTTTCAGATCTTCTGGGAAAATACTCTGAAGGGGAATAGCTGGGTTGAATGGGACCTCAAGACCTAGGTTGCTGAGGAATCTCCAAACTGATTTCCACAGTGGTTTCACCAGTCTGCATACCCACCAGCAGTGGAGAAGAATTCCTATTTCTTTTTTTTTTTTTTTCCGGTACCGGGAACCGAACTCACGACCTTGCGCTTGCCAGGCAGGCGCTTTACCGCTGAGCTAAATCCCCAGCCCCAGAATTCCTATTTCTCTAAAGCCTCGCCAGCATTTGTTATTGGTTGATTTGTTAATGATAGCCATTCTGACTAGGGTGAGATGAAATCTCAATGTTGTTTTAATTTCTATTTCTCAAATGACTAATGATGTTGAACATTTTTTCATGTATTTATTTGCCATTTGTATTTCTTTATCTGAGAAGTGTGTATTCATCTCAGCTGCCCATTTTTAGATTGGGTCTTTGAATTTGGGAGGGGGCTGTTGTTTTTTAATTCTTTATATATTCTAAATAGAAAACCTTTGTCCAAGGGACAGTCAGCTAAAATTTTTTCCCCGTTTGTGGGTTTTCTTTTATTCTGCTGGTGATTTCTTTAGATATGCAGAGACTTTTCAGTAGGACAAGATCCTAGTTGTTGATTCTTTGAAGTATCTCATGGGCAGTTTGGTTTTTGTTCATGAACACTTTGCCTACCCCTATGTCTTCAAGGTTTTTACCTACTTTCTCCTCCAGTAGATTTAGTGTTTCTATTTTAATACTGAGATCTGTGGTCAATTTTGTCTTGAGTTTGGTGCATGGTGATAGATCTGGGTCTATTTTCAGTCTTTGGCACGTGGCAAGTCAACTTTTCCAGCACCAGTTATTAAAGAGGCTATCATTCTTCCAGTGAGTTTGTTTGGCCACTTTATCAAAGATTAGGTGGCTGAGTGTGTTTGTGGTTGTGGCTGTTTCTTCCAGTCTGTTCCATTGATCCTCAGGTGTGTTTTTTAGCCAGGACCAGGTTGATTTTATTACAGTAGCTCTGCAGTATAATTTCAGGTCAGGGATTGTGATTCCACCTGACTTGTCCTTGTTGCCCAGAATTGCTTTTGTTATTCTGGGTTTCTTCTGGTTCCAGATGAATATAAGGAATGTTTTCTCTAGATCTGTGAGGTAGCTAATGGTAGTTTAATGGGAACTGCATTGAATCTGTACAACAATTTGGTAGTATGACCATTTTCACAATGTTGGTTCTTCCTATCCACAAGCAAAGAATAGTTTTCCATTTATTGAAATCCTCTTTGATCTCTTTATTCAGAGGACTGTAGTTTTCATTGAATAGATCTTTTACTTCTTTTGTTAGATTGATTCTTAAGTATTTCAAATTCTTGGATGCTATTGTGAAAGGTATGGTTTCGTTAATTTCTCTCTCAGTCTGTTTGTTGTTTGTGTACAGAAATGCTATTAATTTTTGGGTGTTGACTTTGTATCCAGCTACATTGCTGAATTTTCTGATTAATTCAAGGAGTCTTCTGGTGGGGTTTTTGGGGTCTTCCATGTAAAGTATCATGTCCTCTGCAAGTAGTGATAATTTTATTTCTTCCTTTCCTATCCTTATTCCTTTTGTTTCTCTCTCTTGTCTAAGTGCTCTGGCTAATGCTTCCACAAATATATTGAATAGGAGTGGTAACAGTGGACATCCTTGTCTTGTTCCTGATTTTAAAGTAAAAGCTTTCAGTTTTTGTCTATTTAGTAGGATGTTGTTTGTTGGTTTGTCATAGATGGATTTGATGGGGTTGAGGTAAAGACCATCTACTCCTATTTTCTGTAGAGTTTTTCTCATGAATGCATGTTGAACTTTGTTAGAAGCTTTTTCTGCATCTATTGAGATGATCGTGTGGTTTTTGTCTTTGGCTCTATTGATACGGTTTATAACATTTAATTCACTTTGCTCTATTATTGTCGCATATTTGGTATTTTAGTATAAAATTTTATAAAACCCATTTGTGTCTGTATAGCAAGCAGCACAGTTTGACTTTTAAGATTTTTCTTTTACAAGGTAACACCTGGAAATGCTGACTATCCTTGTTCGATCTCTGTTTCCACAAGTAATCCAGAAAAATCTATTAAAATACATGCATATGGTAAATATAAGTTGACAAATGTTTACAAGCAAACTCTTTGTATAAAATCTAAAGGTTTACATGGAAAAAATTAATCATTAAGCAAATTAGATTCTAAAACACTTGTTAAGTATAAATTTAGGTAGTATTGACATCTAGAAATTCTATAGAAATGATAATGTGTTTGGGACCAAGAAATGTATTTTCATAAATTCTTGATATAACTAAAAAGAACAATTCAAGATTGCTTTTTCTGGCTCTTTATTAAAAGTAGGGTCAATGTAGTTAAACATTTAAATGAGTATGTACAACTCTATATAAAAAATAGTATGGTTAAGTTATGCTATGTTTTGATAAAACTCTATAAGTATATAGTATTTACTGTATTCCAGCTTTCTAAGTTTGAAGTGATGGTTTCTTAAAATACTGATTTGCTTTTAATAAAGCTCACCAAGAACTGATTTAGACAGCAACAATTTTTTGTTTTATCAAGACTATTTTTTTGTTAACTATTACCTTCATTAGGTTTGGACTAAGTTATGAAAACTGCACCTCAAAAAAGTGAGGTTTGCTTAAACATTTATTTTTTAAAAGTATTTTAAG